GATATACTTAAAATTATAAAACAGCGTCTTAGACTTTTTAACCCTTAAACAATGGTATAATTTTAAATTAAATTGTCCCCAGCGCCCCCTGTATGTTAAAATAAAAAAAATACGTGGATTTATTGCCACTAATAAGGATTACATTTTATCTTAATTTCAAATCGATAATTAAAAATGTTATTACAAAATATCGAAATTTATCTATTTTTGACACAGTAGAGTGACTTAATGCCATTTTAAATTTTTTTTAATGTACCATTTAGATGTACAAGGTTAAAAAATATATTCAATTCTGGCATCACTTGCAAACAAATGTCCGCATGGCGAATCGATTTTGACATTAACTGTCAAACCAATGACTGTGATACCAACTATTTAAAGTAAAATTCGACCAAATTAAATTAAAGGTATAAAATTAATTTATGGAATTTTTGCAAAATAGATAATATAGCATAAAGAACTCATGTCATAAGACCTTTTGTCGCACTCGTCCATTACAAAATGATGTATTATGACATTAGTTCTTTAATATACTATTATTAATAACAGTATTAAATATATTATGTTGGTCGCGTGTAAAATAATTTGCAATTTTTTGGTATAAAATGATGTTTAAAATTGACTTTATGTTTTTTTATAACATATCTTAGGCAAAATAAACTGCTCGTCATAAAAATCGAAGCACCTAGTTTTTTGGAAAATATTTGAAAGCTCGTTATTGAAAAATTACTGAATCGATTTTGAAAATCTTTGTATATTTTGAATAGCTGATTCTTTGACTCTTATGTCAAATTTTGGGAATACGATATTTTGCACATTATATTACAGGGTGTTAAACGAAGAGATGTATTTTTTTCGAAATTTCAAGTTATTCCCATTCATGAGGCAGTTGAGTTTGATAGTCGTAATACCCCTCCCTAATATTAGTAAGATAATCCCTCGAAACGTTTTCGAGATTTTGTGAATATCGCGGCTTCTACGATTATATGCCAATTTATCGAAAATTGTCGTTATTTCCCAGTTTAGTCCAAAAAATCAGCAATAGTTGATTTTTTTACTCTTATGTCTAATTTTGGGAATACAATATTGTGCACATAGCATTATACTACAGGGTGTTAAAAAAAGAGATGTTTTTTTCCAAAATTTCAAATCCCCACTCACAGGGCAGTTGAGCTTGATAGTCCTAATACTCCTCCCCAATAACAGTTAGGTAATCCCTCGGGACATTTTCAAGATTTTATGGATATCTTGGCTAACCACGATTGTACGGCAATTTTTCAAAAATTCACGTTATTCTTTATTTTAGTCCAAAAAATCAGCAATAGTTGATTTTTTTACTCTTATGTCTAATTTTGGGAATACAATATTGTGCACATAGCATGATACTTCAGAGTGTTAAAAAAAGAGAATTTTTTTTTCCAAAATTCCAAATCCCCACTCACAGGGCAGTTGAGCCTGATAGTCATAATACCCCTTCCTAATATCAAGTAATCCCTCAGGACATTTTCGAGATTTTGTGGATATCTTGGATGGGTGACGTTCATAATATCGAAATTCACTTTATCGAATTCAAAATATCGAACACTTTTTATCGAAAATCAAAATATCGAAAATACAAAATGTCGAAAATCAAAATATCGAAAATTAAAATGTCGAAAATGATAATATCGAAATTTTATTTAATCGAATTTTCAATTTATCGAAAATAAAATATCGACGTTCATAATATCGAAATTCACTTTATCGAATTCAAAATATCGAACACTTTTTATCGAAAATCAAAATATCGAAAATACAAAATGTCGAAAATTAAAATGTCGAAAATGATAATATCGAAATTTTATTTAATCGAATTTTAATGTGAAACTAAACCATATTTTCTTATTTTGAATTTGATATTTTGTTTAAATATTTCAATTAATCGACATATTATTTTAATCCGTGTATATGTATAGAGGCGCCTCTGATATAGAAATGTACTCAAACTCAACAACACAACCCAACCGACCCCGCCCCATTGGCCCCCCCCCGCCCCATTGAGCAAAAAACCCAACTAAAATGGGCTAATTTATGTAATTAAAAAGTGTTTTATTTTTATCGTAACATGAATTTGCCCATTTTAGTTGGGTTTTTTGCTCAATGGGGCGGGGGGGGGCCAATGGGGCGGGGTCGGTTGGGTTGTGTTGTTGAGTTTGAGTACATTTCTATAAAACGCGCATCTCTAGGAGCCAGGGAGCCAAGATAATTCGGTGCATAACCGTAACTTTATCTACAGAGGCGCCTCTGTACATATACACTTCGATTTTAATCATACATTTTAATTTTCGATATTTTTAAATCGATATTTTAATTTTCGAAATTTTAATTATTCGACATTTTCAAATCGACATTTTAATTTTCGATATTATCATTTTCGACATTTTCAAATCGACATTTTAATTTTCGATATTATCATTTTCGACATTTTAATTTTCGAAATTTTAATTATTCGACATTTTCAAATCGACATTTTAATTTTCGATATTATCATTTTCGACATTTTAATTTTCGATATTTTGATTTTCGACATTTTGTATTTTCGATATTTTGATTTTCGATAAAAAGTGTTCGATATTTTGAATTCGATATAATGAATTTCGATATTGTGAACGTCACCCATCTTGGATAACTACGATTATATGGCAGTTTTTCGAAAATTCACGTTGTTCTTCACTTAAGTCCCAAAGTTTGTCGTTGAATATGAAAACATTTTTCAAACTGCAAATCACATTTAAAAAAAATAAAATAAGATTGCATACCACGCAAGACGAAGAGCTGCCTGCCCTCTTTTTCTGCTAGAAGAAGATGGGCACAAGAACATGCAAATTGGGGAAACGATGTGTTAATAACTAATCGATACCTTTCGTAGTTTGCTCATTTTTGGGAATTAAGTGGAGAATAACGACAATTTTCGAAAAATTGCTATATAATCGTAGTTAGCCAAGATATCCACAAAATCTCGAAAACGTTCAGAGGGATTACCTAACTGTTATTAGGAAGGGGTATTAGGACTATCAAGCTCAACTGCCATGTGAATGGGGATTTGGAATTTTGGAAAAAACATCTCTTTTTTTAACACCCTGTAGTATAATGCTATGTGCACAATATCGTATTTCCAAAATTAGACCTAAGAGTCAAAGAATCAACTATTGCTTATTTTTTGGACTAAAATGAAGAATAACGTGAATTTTAGAAAAATTGCCATATAATCGTAGTTAGCCAAGATATCCACAAAATCTCGAAAACGTCCTGAGGGATAACCTAACTGTTATTAGAAAGGGGTATTACGACTATCAAGCTCAAATGCCCTGTGAATGGGGATTTTAAATTTTGGAAAAAAAACATCCCTTTTTTTAATACCCTGTAGTATAATGCTTTGTGTACAATATCTTATTCTCAAAATTAGACGTAAGTCAAAGAATCCACTATTGCCCATTTTTTCGACTGGGAAATAACGACAATTTTCGATAAATTGGCATATAATCGTAGTAAGCCGCGATATTCACAAAATCTCGAAAACGTTCCGAGGGATTACCTTACTTATATTAGGGAGGGGTATTACGACTATCAAACTCAACTGCCTCATGAATGGGAATAACTTGAAATTTTGGAAAAAATACATCTCTTTGTTTAACACCCTGTATTATAATGCTATGTGCAAAATATCGTATTCCCAAAATTTGACATAAAAGTCAAAGAATCAGCTATTCAGAATTTCCAAAGATTTTCAAAATCGATTCAGTAATTATTCAATAACGAGCTTTCAAATATTTTCCAAAAAACTAGGTGCGTCGATTATTATGACGAGCAGTTTATCTGAAAGAATATTAATAGTTCTTTGATAAAATATTTTGCGATGGATAAACTATTTTTTTATTTAAATTGGCGACTTTCAATAATAAATTGATCTTTTTGTTTATATTATTTTTTATTTCCCAATAAATCGCTTTTACATTTTTTACAATTATAAGTTTTTAATATTTTTTTGGCAATATAAACTGCAATATAAGCCAAGGTACCTCGATTTATTAGTGATGGATTATTTTGTGGTAACTGATCAGGTATAGATAAATCTGGCACTTGTAATGGAGGAAAAATTTCATATCTTGATTTAGAAAAAAAATCTCTTAAGGAATCTAGTGCTACAGCCTCATCATTTTCACAATTTGAACCCGGGGAATGTGAAAATTCCGTTCACCCTGGTGAGAGAAATATGTTTATCGGCAATGCCTTAAATGAATTAATAAATGATTGACATGTTGGATTGATATTTCTCACACCATGACTTCTTATACTGCCAAAATAATTTTCTAAAGGGTCCTGATTAAAATTTCCTATGGAGAGGAATTTAAAACCATCATCTTTTAATTTTGGGCAGAAATACCTAAATCCTTTTAACGTATGAATATAGTTTTTTACTGAAGGAGGTACATACTTTGTACTGTTACTTTTAATAAATTTAACTAATTGTAAAGTCTTTATAGCCTTTATACAAAATGCCATGAAGAGGGAATCTTCATCAACAGCACATCAAAGGTAATTTTCTTCATTTGAATTGTTAACCTTAACACCGTTCAGACTGCCAAAACATTTGTTCATAAACATAATAAATTCTTTTGTTTTACTCGCCTCGGAAGGAATTTTTCATTTGAAGCTAAAAAATCAGAATAAATTGTTATTATGTCAAGCTGCATAAAAATATAAGGTAAAACAAAAATTACCTAATCGTGCTAGTCCTTTTAGGAGTGCTACAACTCGTCCACTAAATATTTGAGCAGCCATGAATACCTTAATTTTCTTTGAGTTGTTAATATGTTACTTAGAAAGTTTATGTAATATCTTATAATCTTTATCGAATCAAGGTTGTATAGTTTCCTTAAATGTTCCCACTTTGCAGTCATTTCTCCGGTAGTCCCAGTAAATATACAATTACGTTCAAAAAGATTATTTTTCATGCACTTTTACAGATGAGGTGGATCATATAAAGGAACAACTTCTTCATCATCAATGAAAAAACCAAAACCATGATTTTCTTTGCCCTGCAATGCAAAATTTCTCTTTGTCTCTTCGTACAAAGAATTTATTGCTGCTCTGTTTGGGCCACCCTGGTCAAAAACTGTGGCAACCATTTTTAATCCAGATGATCTTGCAGAACGTATCATATCTTTTATTGCTTTTGTCAGGACTGCAGATTTCATGCCACCACTATTAAAGTAATACGTTAATGGTTGTTTCAATTTTTTGTGAATGCCTCTTGCCATAAATACCCTATCTTTATCTGCTAAGCGTTGACTTCTGTTTTCACCTCCACTGTCTTCAAAACCATCCATCATATCTAGTCCATGATTTTACTGAACAGATGGATCTATTAGTACCTATTCTAACTGTTTAAAAATTACATTGTTAATGTCAGTTCTAAAGGGCACACTACTAAGCAAATTGGTTAAAGTCCTCCTACTTGACAATTCAAACGTTTTGTTAAGCATCTTATAACTTATATCTTAGGACTTTGCTTTAGTAATCCTAAGGCAAAAATGTTATCATCCAATGAATATCTTTGTCCTTTTGGAGCAATTTCTTGCTGCTTTAGCTGAGTCATAACAAAGTTAAATGTCTGTTCATTTGACGTATTCATCTTATTCGGCTTATACGCTTCTTTCAAACGTCTTTTTACATCCAATGCCCTTCTTCATTCTTATTGCAATTTTGTTGATTGATCCTGCTATTTTATGCAGTTCCCTTGCTTGTGGGCTAAGCTTACTCACTTTTTGAACATTTCTTGAATGAAGAAGTTTTCTTTTTGGCAAATCTGCAATTTAATAAAATAACTAAGGGATGTGTAATATTTAACATTAATGCTGTGTAACAAACTCTTTTGATGATCACATATTTTGTTAATTAGTTAAAGGTGACTTATTTTTCGTAATTAAACATCATATTATTGATCTTACCTTGACGTTTTTTACGAGTAGAAGTAGGACATGGCGAATCTGTCCATCAGATAATCCCAATCTTTTTACTGGATATCGCAAAGTAGAGCTTTCATTTGAAGAACCTGCACTCGGTCTTTGATCAAAGTTGTCAACCAATACATTAGCCACAATCCACACAACAAGGTCTGTTCGATCTCGTACTAAAATACTAAAAATCACTGCAACACTGCACATCATTCAATGGCGGCCATTTTTTTGCGCTTTGGGTTTGTACAGATTAATAATCGTTTTAAACGTTGTGTTTCTTACAGAGAGACTTGCAAGCCTTAATTTGTGGGTTATAAGGTTATTTTATAACCCACAAATTAACCTTCAAATTGACATTTGGCAGCCCTGATAGAATAAGGTTTATTTTTTACAAAAGAGAAGTAAAATGATTGTTCTTACCACTTTGAGGTCTCTTTTAAGGCTTGCAAGTCTCTCTGTAAGAAACACAACGGTTAAAACGATTATTAATCTGTACAAACCCAAAGCAAAAGAATTGTAAACAACAAAAATGGCCGCCATTGAATGATGTGCAGTGTTGCAGTGATTTTTATTATTTTTAGTACGAGATCGAACAGACCTTGTTGTGTGGATTGTGACATTAGCCATATTCCTAAACCATATTTAGGGCCATATTTTTTACAATTTTCCTCATCCTTTGCGTTGCATATTTAAAAAATTACTTACTCATTACACTTAATAATATTATTTAAACTTATTCTGTATCTAGTTATGTTTAAATATCCAATGGCCACAAGCATAATATTATATTATAATAACTTAAGTATAAGGTATACCTTCTAGAAAAAAGAGTAGGAATGCTATCTAATTTTAAAATAGAACCACTGCGTCCATGTATGCGAGAATTAGTGTCGAAATGTACAATGCACAATCTGTAGTTTTTTCTAACCAGCTTTGGATCTACTATTAACAATTGCACATTCTTTGCAGCCATATCTTAAACACCTAAACAAGAATAAGTGACATAGCTATAATACCTAATTAAATCGGTAAGATTAAGAACAGTCTAAGTACAAAATTTAAAATTTTACAAATTATTTTATAAAATCATTTTTATAGTTTAAAATGCATTTTTTTGAAAATATTGTATAAAATATTATAGCCATATTTTGTACCATAGTTGAAATATTATCACAAAAATGCATTTTAAAGTATAGTTATAATTTTCTAAAATAATTTTTTAAAATTATAGATAAAGCTTAGATATATCCTTACATAAGATTTTTAATAATATAAAAAGCTAGACATAGGTACTATGCTCCACACCTCAAAGTCCCACCACGTGACCACGTACGGAACGCAGTCTTTTGAAAATTTGGCACTTAAGGTTTTTCAGGTTATGTATCTGTCAAAGTATAGTCAACGAAAGAAATAATATTATGTTTAGGCAACAATGGATGGTTTAAGAATTTTAATGAAATTCTAAAGTGTATGGTGCCAAATAAGTAATATTTTTGTGCATTTGGTCCAAATATCTGGTTTTATTCATACAATAATTTTAAATAAAAAGCATTTATTAAAAAAAATCTAGCTTTTCTATTATGGAATAAGAATATCTGTTTAAAGGTAGGTTAATATATTATAACAAAAATATCATCTAATTTTGTAATTTGAAAGTTGGAAAAATTTATTTTGAAAAAATTAATAAGTGTTTGGGATTATTTAAAAGACTGTATAATATGGTAGTTTTTCTTATCTAGCTTAAAGTGTACCTACATAAAGTTTTGTCAATACAAATAGTTAAAGAGCTTTGACTGAATTTGATCTACATCGAAAAATCATTATAACTTTAAAATTTTTAATAAATCACATGTTATGGGAGTATTAAATATTTTCACATTGCAAGTTTCCCTAAAAATTGTTTGTTTTCTTATAATCTAACTTAAAGTAGGTATGCCGAGATGTATGCACAAGTTTTGCCATTAGAAGTATAAAAGCTTCAATTTAATTTGAACCATATTCAACAATTATTTAGTATACCTATATTTATTTATGACCATATTAACACACTCTTCCAAATAATCCACTTATTTATTTTGGTCAAAATAGATTTTTCTAACCTTAAAATACAAAATTAGATGATATTTTTTGTTCTAATACATTAACCTACCTTTGATACAGATATTCTTATTTCATAATGGAGAAGTTAGATTTTTTTAAATAAATGCTATTTAGTTAAAACTATTTTATGAAGAAATGTAGACCCAATGCACAAAAATATCACTTATATTGCACCTTACACTTTGGAATTTCATTATATTCCTAAATTCTTAAACCAACTATTGTTATTGTGATACTATAAAGATTTATTAACTTTTAACGCTTAAACATAAGCGGTAACACTATAAATATTATTTCTTTCATTGACTATACTTTGACAGATATATAACCTGAAAAGCCTTAAATGCCAAATTTTCAAAAGACTGCGTTCCGTACGTGGTCACGTGGTGGGACTTTGATGTGTGGAGCATAGTACCTCATCGATTTTGGGGAATTGATGCATTTTTACACTATCTCCCCTGATTTTGCACTTTCGTTCACAACATGAATAACCCATAATAAATAGGTACGTTACACAATACAAACTTAAAAGGTTATAAGGACTTCACAAATTTAACACACACTTAAAAGGTTACAAAATTAAGTTATTTTTGCAAAGCTCATGTCTAATTATTATACCAACTGTCATTATGACAACGGTAGTTTCGGTGACGAAAACAACTTTCGCGACATTACCGCCTCTGGCAAGCGTAGTTAAAACTTCCCAGCGGACAGTCTTTTGTACAGTAAAGATGAACTGGACAGAATCAAATAGGTACAGGATCAACTTCCGGGGACTAATAAAACCATAGACTAAAAAAGCTAGAATACGTTAATTTGTCACTCTACCAAACCAATCAGGACCAATCCGAACCGAATGTCGCTTATGAGACCGTATCTCGGAAGAGGGGGCCATAGTAAAAAAAATTATAGGAACTTGTCATATTATTTTTATGTGTTCTATTTGAATCCGGGAGATTGCCCACATATTCTGAGACACCCTGTTTAACATAATCTAATTTTAAATTTTAATTGTTACTTAATAAATTATCGGCAACGCATGCGTATTGTTAAAGTAAAAATCCTAAAATACATTTTCTCATAAGATAAATGAATATTTTTTAATAAAACCATTGTTTAAACCCACACTGAAAAAAGTCCATGTGTTATTAGTACCTATTACATGTAAAAAACTGTTTTTTTTTCAGATGTGTTGTGTTGTGTTTTTTTTTTCAAATCCGCTGCAATAAAGCATATTCTGTCAATAACTAACATCAATCTTAAAAAATGGAGTCATTTTTCAAAATGACATTTTGAGTAAAATGTATATTAATAATAAAATAAAATGTAGAATATATTACATTTTTCATTATTGAAAATTTTGACCGAGACTAAAAAATCTGATTTCTTATTATTTGGTTGTTTCCACATAAGAAACCAATAGCAATGTAAAACTTCTAAACTAATAGAAAAAATTAAAGGATAAAAAAAATTCCAAATTTTTTGCGATTTTTCGGATGGCTGTATCTTCGTTAAAAATGGTCGTATTGTAGCCGTAAAAAAAGCAATTTGAAGCTTGAAGTTTCTAGTTTTGAGATTTTTAGATTAAAAACGTGCAACGCTCAATCCTAATGAATACCGTAATAAAAAAATACGAAATTTTTTTGGCTTTCTTTTTTGGTCCACGGAATGTTCTGACACCAATGAATAAATGTTCTACAAGAATTTGCTATTGTTATAAAAAAAAATTCCATACTCTACATGAATTTGAAAAATCATGAAAAAAAGTGCTTCTGGTAGCTTTTTGAAAAATCAAGCGCTGAATCAAAAATATTATAGGTAGTTACTTTTTTTAGGACCAAATCAAAACAAGCGCGGCCCTTATTGGTCAATTCGGTTGTGGTGGCGCGTGCAAAGCGCTAATTTTAGTACACGAACTGGACTGGAAACATAAAAAATTAGGCAAATGGGACTAATCTTAAAAAAAAACTAAAATATGAAAAAAAACAATGAAAAGAGAACTGAAAAAAAAACAAAAAAAAACGGACCGTTTTTTTTCAAGTCGCATCTCTCAAGTCGCATAACTTATTACACAATTTCTTCTGTATTTATTACAGAACTGTTTCTGTAAATATTAATTTACGTTAAAATATTCAAAACATAAATAAATACGTGTATTAAAGATATATAAAAATGCAGTTTATTTAAATATCCCTGATATTTTGTTATGTTTTTTTGCTAGATACTGAAACCTAAATTATATTTTAAGAGTTTTTGAAAAAAGTACTTTG